ACAAATCTGAAACAATAAAAACAAATTACCTTTCGGACCATTACGCTTTCGTAACATCGTGATGTAAACTCTATTCCAATGAAATGCATGTGATTTTATAGCAATATGTTCGTTTAACTAATACAACTGCCTGACTACCCATCTGATTGCCTACTATCTATATCTGTATACCTGTTTATGTTTTAATGCTCTTATGTCTTGGTTTTCAAGCACTATCACTGATCCAAAAGTGGAGTTAAGTAGGATGGAAAAGACAATAAAGAACAGGGCGGGGAAGGGCAGCAATCAAGGACATGCCCCTAGTTGTAGCCACATCTGACCCTCAACTCTTCCGATCTAGAGCTATCGTACATAATGTTCCCCTTTATGTCTTCGTGAAAAGATTTCACAATACTGAGTTGTGTTGGTGTACAAACAATGTTGCTAGTATCTTGAAGAGTCTCTATCTGCTAATAAGGCCAAAGGACTTGATGAGGTCGATGAAGGCGATATAGAATGGTTTCCTCTGCACTCTACACTTTTTTTAAATACCCGAGTTAAAATACCGTATCAGTGGTGGATCGGTCGGTTAAAAACCCGCACTATGACTCTGGTAGACTCTTTCTTTCAATACAACCTCATAAAAAAGTTTCTCATGATGCTCAGAATGGAAATGCTACGATAGTTGTTGCTGTCGCTCCTGTCAACTTTGTTCTTGGTGAGGGTGACAGTAAGGTCATCCGTCGTGTCTTTTGGTACTGAGCCTTGTTTCCAGCATTGGCAGATGACTTCATGCAGTTTTATTAGGAGGGTTTCTTTGGCGCACTTTATGACTTCAGCAGATATTCCATCCCTTCCAGTTGCCTTTCCAGGGAGCGAGTACGTCCAGAGCTTAACTCAGTTCTTCGAGTTTTGACTTACTATCTAGCTAGTCCGTGGTTGGTAAGCACTCCATAACATCGAGGGAATCCTGACTGACCTTCTTTAATCTTGAACATAGCTCTTAATAATGCTCCACCAAACGTTCTATCTGCTTCGGATGGTCTGTTATGATCTTGCCGGTCGACAGTCATTTTTGTGTCGGTCCAATAAAAACTTTGAAACCATCATACATGCTCTTTATGTCACCGATATCGGCAGAGATCTGAATCAGAAATTATTCACATAACGTCATATTGTTATGGACTATTCTGGGGGCTTGCATGTTCTTCTTAGTTGGTGCTGTTTTGTAGGTGGCAAAACCTGTCCTTTCTCTTCAAAAGTGAGTTTCAAACCATTCAGTTGACTTTCCACGCCTAATATCAGAGACTGAAATTGCGACGGTGTGGATAGAGTCCCAATCATTTTTCAGTGTAATTTGTTTGGAGAAGAGCTCTGACAAAATTAAGCTCCTTCTTTTATGAGCTGGTCTATCTTGTGTCAGTTCGAGGTATTCCCTTTTTCTTGAAGCAATGCGGCCTCCTCTGCTAGAACTTCACTTTGCTGCACACACGAGAATGATCGATGTCTTTGCTGCACACACGAGAATGATCGATGTCATAGTCTGCGCAACAGTAACTGCGTTATCTGTACTCTGCTAACGTTAGAGCTTCTTGTGGGGATGGGATCAAGCTGATGCTAATGCTTGGACCTCGAGTGTCTCTAGACGATACTGTCTTGGCCATTCGTCTTAATAGCAAGACTGATGACAGCAGAGTTCAAGGAGGTTCATGCCGTTCTTATTCAGGATAAATGGTCAGCACCGATTCTGGCCTTAAAGACACCAAGGATGAGCAGTGGATATTGCAACGGGACGTCTCCAATAGTAACACTGAGATCGTTTTGAAACCGGTCTTTAACTTCCATGGAGAATGTCATTATTGGTGCAGATGATTAGACCGATCAATCCAATGATGTCTGATGCTTAAGCTTCATGAGCTTTTGAGTTCCCTCTGAGGGATGTTCAATCTGTAATTTTGTATCTCACTCCTAAAACTTCTGTATCGCACACCCAACTGCGATATACTTTTACAAATTCAAATATCTAATAATAGCCTGCTTATAAAAAGTAACATGAATGATTTATTACAATGCATCTTTAATTATTTAAAAATGTTGCACAGCTTGTATTTCTAGGAACTGCAGTTACATTTAAAGAAAATAAATTACAACTTGAAACTGTGGATATTTAGAGACTACCGTAAAAAGTAGCGAAGGGTAATTTAGGTGCATTTCAATATACTATTTTTTAATTTTACTTCGGCTAGTTTTGTCTTTTTAATAACTGAACATGAAGACAATCCGATGGATAGAGATCGTGCAATTAGGAAGAGATGCTAGGAGATAGACACAATGTAAATTATGAAGACATGTCAATAGGATAGAGATAATATAAATGTCTACGGATACAACGGAGATAAACAAAATAATATCCGAGTGAAAGAGAGAGATTAGAAAATGTGTCTAATTTTAAAGTTTTATGCTTTTGTAAAAGCATTACATGATGTTGCCATTCAACATGACGTCACTATTAACAATGTTTACTGCAACATTATGAAATGGAAATAGAACGAAAATTTATGTGCCGCGACTTCTGTCTCTCTTTAGATAATGTAAATGAAAAATTAGTATGCATGTCTACAAACAGCAATGTCAGTTCTATGAAAGAATGTTAAGATATATAATCAACGAAAAGTATGCGTGACCTTTCGAAATCTTTAGCTATTTACGGTCTGAAAACAAATCGGTCGCTACAGGCTTATGTTGCTTAAATTAATGTACTTTCTTTATTTCATAATGCAATATTAACTTATAAACACTTTTAATTTTGCATTTAATAGCAGGAGTCTTTGGTTCTAAACCTTTGCGAAACTGAATTTTTTAATAAAAACATTTTGTGACAAGGAACAATTTTCCCTACCTTTAGTGACTCTTACAAAGGGACAGTCTCAAGAAAATGCAACCCATCCTGTGTCAAAAATTTTATATTAAAAGTTAAATACTCCAACAGTTTTCACAGCCTATCTTTTTTAAAAAACTCAAAAAAATTATTCAGTGTTACTGTTGCACGTAAATTAACAATTACTAATTCAAGAAAAAGCTTAAGGATCAACAGGAAAAGTAAATTATCTGTCAGTATCTAATGATAACATATGTTATGGAATATATTACATTAATGTTCGCGTGGTTAAAACCTTGAGATACACATAACTACCTAAATGTCTTTCAAATGGTAAAAATATATGTTTTAGTAAAATCAAGTTTCTTTCTTGACCATACTCCTTTCAATAGTTAACACCAAGAATTAGATGATTGCGGAATAATTTATGGCAGATGACATACAAGTCTCTGACCTCTTCCTCGCACTGTATGACATTTCATAAGAAACTAACAAAAGCACATTGTTAATTACCATGATGAAGAAATAGAGAAAATAATTAACAACACTCACATAACAACATAGAATTTAATTAAAATAATATAAACTTTCCAATTATTATTTCAATTGGTTATATAACCTAATCCCTTTTGTGTGCAATAATATACTATATCTTAATTACGAAAAATTTTAACAAATAATTAAGTCAATTTTAACAAATAATTAAGTCAATGAATTCATCATACCATTGTGTATTATAAAAGTCACTGAACAAGCATGAATTAACTTTCGAGTTTGTGTCTAGCGGTCGTTTAGTACAGATAATGAAATATCATTTTACAAATGAACTGTACCGAGACATGTCATCTATCATAAAGCAGTGGCGTTATGAGCGGCCGTTAAAATTCATCATCTTATCATGTTCACACAATAAATCTCCAAGATATGACACACCCAGATTTTAAACGTCTAAACGCCTGCAGATAATAATTTTTTAAATGGCCATGCAAGCAAATATTTCAAAATTCATATTACAGCTTAATTTTTCTCCCTCAAATTAAGTGACAAAATTTGCAATTGAGGATGATATTAGTCGTGTTATAACCACAAGTTTAATTAGCTGGCCATACCACAGGATATATCTGTTCCAGAAATTAAACATATCCATAATTTTATGATCAACGTCATCGTTAGAGGAAAACAAAACAATAAGAAACCGACTGTTTCTAATCTGAAGGATGATTGATTCGGTATTGATCCGAATATCTAATCTGGCGTTGATGTTTAGTATAATTTTAAACCTTCTTGGATTTGAGTTTGAAATGAGTACCTATAAACTTTATTGACACATATTACTTTCCTTTTTCAAACAAATATTCAATGTATGATTTTGCAATTTGAACGCAAGACTGTCAATTAAAAAAATGAGTAAAACTATTGCTGGTACCTACCGGAAATAGGACTTTTATGGTAAAGAAGGGCTTTCCCACATAATTAACAACACTAAATTAATACTGTTGGAGCCAACAGTTAAGTCTAGTAGACAATCTCATTGTAATTTAATGCACTTTCTTCAGTGACTGGCCATCCTTTTAAATTTGTTAAGTAGTGAACATAAACTACTTTTAAATAGTATTGAATTATTGTCTTGCAAGAATAACCGTTATTTTTTGGCGATGTCTCATCAAATAGTTTTATTGTTGTTGTTGATGTCATGTTATTTTATTTCCCAACTATTATATCACCGACTAAAATTTGTATATCTTTGTATTTTTAGAACTTTGCAGTATGTATGTTTAAAACTGAAAATCGAAAAGTTAAACTTTAATTCATGTTGTATATATTTATTCAATGCTTTTGCAGATAACCTAATGGATATTGACGAAATTGGTATGTGGTCCTGAAACTAGACTGTAAGTTTGATTTATAAGCATACGAATGGGTCCAGAGACTCTAGTGTGTATGTTTTTTAAAAGTGGAACAGAAATTGTAGAATATCTTCTTACCTAAAAGTGGTGAAAATAAAATTTCCAGAATCTATTCAATGTATTTAAAACCCATACCACCTATTCAATGTATTTAAAACCCATACGACCTATTCAAGTTATTTAAAACTCATACGACCTATTCAAGGTATTTAAAACCGATACCACCTATTCAAACCGCTTTGGTGGCCTAGTGGTTAGAGCGTCCGCCTCGGATGCGGGAGGTCGTGGGTTCGATCCCCGATCGAGTCATACCAATGACTTACAAAAATGGTACTTACAGCTGCCTCGCTTGACGCTCAGCATTAGGAGGTTAGTATTAGGACTGGTCGGCCTGGTGTCAGGAAAATGACTGGGTGGGACATCATGCTACATGTCTGCGGCATGATGCCCCAGTGCTGGACATCACTATAAACTGCCACACTGCAGACATCATAGAGATATAACTGACAAATTGTTAAATCTACGTTAAAAATTATAACACCACACCACCTATTCAATATATTAAACCCATACCACCTATTCAATGTATTCAAAACCTGTATCATCTATTCAATGTATTTAAAACCCATACCAACTATTCAATGTTTTTTAAAACCCATACAACAAGAATTGCAATATTTAAATTTTACTGTTGTTAATAGTCTTTTTTCAAATTGATGATGTCATGCTCTTATTGGCGTCTAAATATAAGAAAATGAATTTTGACTTTTTTCTCATAAAACAGTATGTCCTTTTCAACAGATGAGGTGACAAAGTCAAAAACCGTTTACATGATTTATAAGCTTTCGTCTCTTGTGCAGACAAAACATGGTTTTCTTCAAAAAAAACCATCTAGACTGGCTGTTATAATTGTTCAAAACATGAATTTTACTTTCTTTTAATTTTGCCTAAATTTCAATTGTAAATTTAATTATGTGAAATGTATTTTTAAAAAAATTTTAAACGTCGTTCTGTAAACTCGTTTAATCTAATTTGAAAAATTTAAGTGCTTGCACTACTTTCTGTTTGCTGTAATATTGGATTTTGTGAACTTGTCCGAAGACCAACAGATATCCTTGCAAGTAAATGAAGTGACTGTATTACAATAATAATTCAATCGGGTCTTATGAAACTGAATAAATGAATATTTTATTGGAGAATGTGTTCCTATTTACGTTTGATGTTTTTCCAATGTGACATATTTGCGATTTTTATCTTTAATTCTCTTTCTGCCTAGTTGGCACATGGGGCGTCCACCAGAGCCTTCCATCGGTCCCTGTCCTGTGCCACCTTCTTTTCTTCTCCCCACAATAGTTTCACTGTTTTAGATCGGTATCAAGCGTTCTTCTCCTTGTGTTGGCAGGGTGTCCTCTATTTCTCTTCCCTTGGGGATTCCACTCTATGGCGTGCTTCGCGATGCTACTGCTGCCTTTTCTCCAAGTGTGGCCCATCCATCGCATTTTCCTTCTAGATATGGTTACAGTGATCGGTTATTGCTCTGTCTTTTCCAGAGTTCTTCATTGGACACTTTCTCAGGCCATCAGATACGAAGGATCCGTCTCAAGTATTTGTTGATGACGACTTGGAGCTTCAGGACCAGTGCCTTTGTTTGTTTCCATGACTCAAAGCCGTATAGCAACACTGTCTTCACATTGGTGTTGAGGATGACATATTTGCGCAATATATCGAAATTATAAAACAAAGATTTGACAAAAATAGTCAAATAGCAACTTGTCTTACATATTCTGACTGTCTCTCTTTATGTGAATTTTGCTTGTAAAATTTTGGATGTAAAATATTGCATAGATCTAAAACATTTTATAATAATGGTGTGGTGTCAAACTTCCCCAACCTATCATCAACATCGAAAAATCAAAGAAACTGGTTAACTTCAACCAGACTTCCGGTAATATCTCTTCGCGTCTATTTAGGTAGTAATGGGTGAAATCACAGTACTTGGCCATTACAAGGTACTCTGTCTCGGGGCTTATTGGGCACGACATGGTACTCGTTGTATAAGGGCTTATTGGGTACATCATAGTAATCTTTATATCAAGGCTTATTAGGCACTACATGGTACTCTTTGTCTTAGGGCTAGTAGGCACTGCTTGCCCTTTTTGTCTCATGGATTATTGGGCCCACCTATCAATATACTCTCATGGTGCTCTTTTGTCTTAGGAAAATTAACCACTACTTGCCCTCTTTGTCTCATGGATTATTTGGCACTACGTGGTACTCTTTGTCCTTGAGCTATTAAGCACTACTTTCCCTCTTTGTCTCATGGATTTTTGAGCACTACATGGTACTCTTTGTCCTTGGGCTCATTGGGAACTACATGTTATTTTTTGTATTAGGGCTTATTTTGTACTACATGGTGCTCTTTGCCTGCGGGAATATTGAGCACTTCGTAGTACTCTTTCTCTGCGTGCACAAGGTTGCAGGTCTTAAATAAACATCAAACATAAATATTGACGTCACAATCAAACAGTACACTTCGTATTTCGGAGAGGATTTTAACCAAAAAAATCATAGTCTTACCTGCCAAGAATTAACCTGAACAGATACATCTAAATATATCGTTTTGTGAAAGGATTGATAAATAATGCGCCCTTATTCAGATTGATTATATCAGTATGAAGTAATTTAAACTTATACCGAGTGATTTTGTTACAGGGAAAAAAAATGTATAACGTCTACGATGTTAGGGATGAAATTCAATTATTTTGAAAACAACAGTTCTTACAGCATTTTTTATGAAGGTATACATTCTAAAGGGTACGAAATTGTGTATTTTAATTCACATTTGGTGGGTGCAGGCCTTGATTAGGGTTTCCATAGCAACAGAATGGTACTAATTGATGTTTAGAGCCAATACTCATCTTTAACGTTTATCAGTTAAAATGTCTGTTCATACAAGTTTAATTTTCCATGACAAAAATTGTGGATTGTGTTGTCTGACGGTGGGAACATTAACACAAATATAATGATATGTCTGGAATCGTCAAAATAGACTTCACAATTGTATTTAAAACTATTACAGTGATTCACTCCATTCATTTAGGACAACATTTGGAACCTCGTGGCTTCGTTACCCTACTGTTGCAGTTGAAGTATGTAATATGGCCAACTTTTTATTGTGAAAATGGTCGGATGAAATTCTACGTTCACATAAAGGAGAAAGGAATATGTTTATCACAAATATATAATTATGTTCCTTGCTTTACGTTGACAACCTTTGTTTTTGTCCGAGAGTAGATTTGCTGATGAAAAAGCTTCATTTGTATTGCCCTGGATGCCTTTCAGTTACACTCGCTAAATTTTTTAAATAGCCCATTTGATGATTTCATGATCATTCTCAAAATTTGTGTCCCTCGAAAATGTATTTAATTCTCGTTACCTTCTTCAACAACATTCTATTCTTTTCAAATGGTGAATGCAACAAAACTATCAGCCCGGACTATTTTGCCTTTCACTGCTCTGAATCGGTTCAAAATTCTTTATAAACACACAGATATATATATATATATATATATATATATATATATATATATATATATATATATATATATATATATATATATATATATATATATATATATATATATATAAAAGATAGATAGACAGACAGACAGACAGATAGTTAATAATTAGATAGATAGATAGATAGATAGATAGATAGATAGACAGACAGACAGACAGACAGACAGACAGACAGATAGATAGATAGATAGATAGATAGATAGATAGATAGATAGATAGTAATGAAGGTTTTGAATAACGTCTAATCTTTAGTAGAAGCTCTAAGCGCTTTACAGCATTTGTCAACACTTAAGAAAACATATAATGATATGATTACAAAAATAAAACAAACACGACAAAATTAGAAAACAAATGCTGTATATAGTTAAGGTATGGAAACATTATTAGGTCTTTAAGTCTTTTCTTGCAGTTGAAATAGATAAGTTTGAAGAGCGCTCTTGAACGAGATCACTGTGTCTTTGTGTCTAAGTGCTGTGGGCAATTAATTCCACGCTACTTGGCCCTGGTATCCAAAATAACGTTTTCCGTATGATTGCGTTTTCATAGTGAAAATAACGAGAATACGAGTGTCAGAAGAGAAGTATATTGCTGGTGCGTACACATAAGTGAGGTGGGATAGGTATTTTGTACTGGAGCCCGTCAGTGAAACATAGCACAGAGAACAAATTTTCTGTTTAATTCTAGATCGAATGGATAACAAGTGTAGGGTACAGAGCAGGATGGGGGGGCGTGCTCTGATCGTGGATGAGCAGAGAAGCTGTTTGAATTTTCTGATTTATCTGTAGTATATATTGAGACGAACCAGACAGAATTGAGTTACAATAGTCAAGTCTTATATATATATATATATATATATATATATATATATATATATATATATATATATATATATATATATATATATATATAATTTTAAATAGAGGCAAACATGTTTAAAAATTGTAAGCTCAGGGTCTTGCTTTTATATTTAGAACTAAACATGTTGTTTATGAATTTCACGGGACGTTGGCCTTCAAGCAGACTCTGATATTATGTCTTAGTATTTCATATTGATGTTTTTAGTCCAAAATTAATCATTCCATATCTTAACATAGAGGAATCAATTTAAGTTGGGTTTCAGTTAATTTGCGAGGGTTTTTTCATTTAAATTACTCACATGAATTACGAAGTGCTCAGTATGTTTAAACTTTTGGGATTACTCCATTCAAGGACAGTTTGGATTATATCATTTTGATAAATTAAGACTGTTACCACATCTACGCCTTGCATGCTATTGGAAGTTGGAATTCATTCGGATGACCACTGGAATTCATTCGGAACTCAATATTTTGGACTCGTGATAGAACTTATCGGACTATTAGAGATTTAATTAACAACACTGTGAGTTCTTTTTAAAGTTTTCACTTTCTGTTCTAGGGGAATAAATACTTTGTTGAAATTTCCAAACTGTGTTGGTTTTTCGTTCTTTTCAGTTATTTAATTTAAGATCATAAAGTGGCCACTCCGGTGGCAGAGTTTAGATTTTCACGTCACCAATATTTTCACACGATAAAATAAAGCATGCAAAGATGTCACTCACATATAAAGTATGAAATAATGACAAAAAAATCACAAGAAAAAAGAAACATTTTACTTAAAATCATTTAAATTTGATGCCATTGGTAACAGTACACAGGTCTAAGCAATAATTAATTTGTATTGCTTTGTCTAACAATGTAAATTAAGTAAAT